TCTCGTACAGACTGTGGCGATGTAAAGTCTGTGTCACTCGTGCGTTTCTGTCTTTGTCTCCTGTGTCTTCTGCAGCTGATGCTTTGTAGCTGGGCTGTGTGTGCCACGTTGTTGGGTACGGAAGTATTCAGAAGTGTCACATCTTCTGTGAATTGGCACTTTTAGCGTTAAAAAATGTCTGCCGTTGTCCAGTGGGCTTGAGCTCTGCTGTGTCCTGAGTTAGGACCATCATTCACCCCGCTCTGTGCACTTCCCTCACCAGAGAGAATCTCTGTCCCTGCTTTGGTCTTATACTTCCTGATTTCAGGTGTGGCTCACATCTATAGCACGTGCCTACGTCTTGTTTTCTGAGCCGAATCGAAAAGCTTTCCCTCTATTAGGTGAATTGAGCCCATTCGCCTTCTTCTGATATGATCAACACGCTTGGTCTCTTCTGTCTCACAGTGTTTTATAACTATGCCTATTTCTTACGTTTGCTACGATTCTTTTCCTCTGAAGTGCATATTCTTTGCTCTTTAATTAAAATGTTTGTATTTAGGAAGGCTTACGGTTGTATTCTGGTGGTTATTTTTGCACATAAACCTTGTTAAATGTCCCCTGGTTTTTCTTAGCTGTTCAGCTTCTTAGTTCCCATAGGGCTTGAGCCCCGCCCACTTTCTCGCAGCAGCCAGTGCACATGCCCCTTGCTCTCCGCCCTCCCGCCGGGCCCCTCCTCAGCTTCAGTAAGCGGTGTGGTTTCCTTACAAGTGCTTCTGCCCGCCCCAGCACCGCGCGTGTCCCTCCCCATTCCTGGCTTGGATGACGACTGCACTGTGGCCCAGCCCGCGGAGGCCTCCATGCAGAATCCCCGACACTTGCATGTTGCAAAAGGTCTTTCTGTGGCTTCGATAGGGAGGATGGTCTGGCTTGGATATAAGATCCTTGGCTCGCACTTTCTTTCAGTCCTTCTGTGAATGAGCGTCCGTGGTCATCCTGCTTTGGAAGCTGGTTTTGAAAAGCCCCGATGCCAGGCTGATTCACTTGCCTTTGTCATTTATTGTCTCTTTTACACGAGGCCTTGTCTTGATCTTTGAAAACTAGCAATTTCACGAGGAGATGTCAGAGTCGGTTTTCATGGGAACTTTCAGTGTGTAGATTTGGTCTTTCTGGTTCCTGGACTCTGGCTTCTGTGTCTGTTGTGTTCTGTCTGCTTCCTTCTTCGGAGGCTCTGTTAACACAGGCCTTTGCCCGCCACCTGCCCTTCCCCAGACCTTCCGCGGCTGCGCCCCTCACGAGCCTGCCTTTCCTCGCGGGTCTGCCCTCGGTGCCTTGCAGTTAATTCATGCACTTCTGAGAGATCTCTGTGTCTCCTTCCCATTTTTTTCTTGCATTTACTCCACTCTCATCCCTTCTGTTTTTTAATCTACTTCTCTTAACGTTAGGGATTTTTCTTTCAGGGCACTTCTCATGTCCTCAAATGTTTCAGGACATCTTTTGGTTGTTGGAAGTGTTGTCTTAATGGTTTTCTTGTTTTTCCAGACAGTCTCCGATGTGCGTGGAATTCTGTTTTCTGATTTTTGCAGTAGATCTTGACGGACTTGCTAATCTTGGGTCACTTTTGCCAGGTTTGGGTGTCTCATCAGACTTGCGGTCTGATGGCGCCCTCTTCTGACCGCGCTGAGCAGTCGGGTAGTGTGGCCGGTTTTCTGTTTGCGTTGCTTGTAGGAGGGTCCTGGAGGGTCCTGTGTCCTTTGGCGGTGACGTCCCGGTCTTGCAGGAGCCTCAGTGTCCCTTTAGTTCCTTCCCTTGTCGGAGGCTCTGTGTTCTGAGGACTCTGGACGCTAGACTGGGGTGGACCGGCCGTTCTGGGTGGCCTCTGTCAGACCGCGGCCCCTTGCTGTCTCCATCCTCTGCCTTTGCCACGTCACCTTGTGGGTTCAGGAGGACCTGCCAGGTGTTCTCATCTGGAGTCTTTCTGGAGCAGGGCGCTCCGTGCCGCCACGTCTGCCGATGGAGCGATGCCTGGGTAGATTGGTGCCTTCTTGTTCTGAGTTGGTTTTGGGGAGACGGAGGGAGGTGTCGGGGTGACTGAGTGGTATGTGTCCTCCTGAGGAGAGTGCCTGCGTGTCTTTGCCGCCGCGTGTACTCCCGGCCGCCTGTCTGCACCGGGTGCTCTGTTGCGTGGACAGGGAAGGCGCAGAGACGGGTGCAGGCGAGTTGGGGAACTGAGGGGAGCGGGGCGAGCCGGTCGGAGGCTGTGCCATTGGGTTCGCTGGAACCGGTTCGGCCCAGGCTCCTGGCTGTCCAGCTGAACGCGGGGCGGGGGCGCAGCCTTGAGGGGCCCCTCGCTCGGGAGCCGCTTGGCCATGCTTCTGGGGGCCCGTGAGTGCAGGGCTCTTGGCTGCTGTGGCCCCGAGGTGGACATTTCCCTGAGACCGTGCCCAAGGGCCCGTGGCACTGGGGCTCACGTGTCGGCACGCATGGCGAGCATCCAGCCACGCTGGGGGCTTCTCTCCCTGTGAGCATTGGCCCCCAACTGAGGTGGCCCCACGAGCCGGGATTTGGACGGAAAGTGGGGTTTTTCCCATTCGGTTTTACATCAGGTGCTCATTGCCTGTCAGATCGATTGTGGCATTTTGCCAATGGCAAGGTTGCCTTCAAAAGAAATAGCTCTTTTTTTTGTCTTGGACCAGTCCCGTGACCGGGCTGACAGGTGTGCGACGTGCCGTTTTCAGGGGAGGACCTGCTGTGTGCAAGCGATACATCCAGGGTCGCCTTGCTCTTAGCCCAGCGCCTGCAGAGCCTGCAGAGACCGGGCAAAGCAGCCCTTTGATGGGGTGTGGGCGTCACCGCTCCCCCTGGGGGCCATCCCCACCCCCACCGGTTGTTCCGTGATTCTGGGCTGGGCGCGGTGTCGGTAGGCTGGTGGTCACGGCCGTCCTCTCTCCCGGGCTCCGGGCTCCTGCGACCCCTCCCGCAGCCAGAATACCCGACGAGCAGTATGACCAGGACCCTGGAGGGAGGACGGTGAACTGCGCCCTTCCGTTTTGGCATGAGATGGGGAAACGGTGCTCGGCCCGTGTAATTAGAAGTAATGTGAGTGTTAAGTAGGATATCTTTGAACATCGGCTTTTTACAACATCCATAGAAACACCAGGAATTGAAGTTTCTCGCTGGCCCTCAGAGCGTGCCGCCTGCACCTGGGGGCGGCACTCCACCGGCTCACTTGCCCGTTAACGCTTTGAGACCAGTTGTGGTTTCTAAGAAATATTGGAATAATATCGCAAGTATTATTTGTCTTGAGTTCTGACCCGGTAATTTCCACCTGAAGTGGGGGCCCTGTCCTACCTGTTTTTGGCTGTTGGCTTTCTGTTTGGAAAGTAGAAACATCAGACCTGGTCCAGAATTGGTCACGCGTGTTGCAGAGATGTTTCGGTCCATTACGTAGGCAGTGCCTTTGCTCTCTGCGTGGCTGCGCCTGTCCCCGTGAGTCTTGGCGTCTGCAGGGGAGGTGCAGAGGGCAGGCCACCGTCCGCGGGCAGCTGTCTTTCCAGAAACTGGCCTCTGCTTGGGCGTGCTGGGCTCTCCCCATGGTGTCTGGGGTGCAGAGCGGCGGGCCCCCGACGGGCCCCCGGGCTCCTGCTGCTCCAACGTCCTCACAAGCCTCTGCAGGGGCGGGGGGGGGGGGGGGGGGGGGTGGCGCGGTGTGTGTCTTGCACAAAATGCTCCTTTAGGGCTGTTACCGAGGCTCAGGAAAGCACGGAGAAACCAGAATTGTTCTTCCAAACAAGGAAAAGTAGCTGCCACGCAACCTGGCCTGGAGGAGGGACCTCAGCCGTGAAGGGTGGTGGAGGGGGTGCAAATTGTAATTGAGGTCAGAGATGGGTGCGTGTGCACAGGGACTCCCCTGGGGGAAAGGGCTCAGGTGGCAGAGGGACCTGGTGCCCGGAGCGTGCCTGGGCCTCGCCCGCCACCTGCTGGCCGGCTCCCGGAACTGCGGCCTGGTCAGGGCAGGGCTCTTCTTCAGCTGTCGGGGAACCCTTTCCTCCCACCTTCCTAAGCTGTGAGAACATGCAGTAAAAATACCCTGTGTTATGTTTGCACTTGAAATATGCACGAGCAACTTTAACCACCAGAACACAGATGCTTAGTTTTCATTCTGAACGGAGAACCAGGCACCACGCAGTTGGGAGTTGTGTGGTCGGACGGAGATGCGGTGCTGGAACCCCAGGACCCAACACGACGCATCCGGGAACACCGCCCCCAGTGACTCCTTGTCCACGTGCAGGCGTCAGAGACTCGCAGAAACTCGGCTGTTCCCCAGCGGTGCAGGCCCTGAGCCCAGTTGCTGCTGTCGGCCCGGAGGTGGCAGTGTCCCGCTGAGACTGGCTGGGAGCAGGGTGCCCCCTGTTGGCCGCGGACGACCGCGGTGACCCCAGAGCTCTGTGGTCCAGCCCACTAACCCGCCCGCCCAGCCTGGGAGTTTAGACTTTGCAGCATTGGGAAAGTGCCTTTGCCGGCGACATGGGGACGACATGATTGCCCCGGGTGTGGCATTGGTCCCACCTGGCCGCCTGGACACATGGAGGTCGGGGACACCAGCTTCAAGCCCAGGAGCTGTCTTGCCATCCCCCTGGGGCAGGAGCCTCCGCCTGTGCCTTCTGCAGGCCCCGAGGGCCGGAGTCTGAGCCCTGGGAATTGCAGGGGTTAGTGCCCATATGGGTGCTTGAGACCACCGGTCCCGGAGGTCAGCGTGGGGGCCGTGCCCCCTGCTCGCACCCCCTCCCTGTTAGGGACCCGTAAAGCACTTCAGCTCCAGGAGCAGGTCTGCAGGAAGGAGCCTGTCCCACATGTGGCTTCCTCCAGCTTCAGGGTTCCTTGGCACACCTGTAGGGAAACTCGAGTGGCTGTGGGCACGTAGCCCTGGGGCCAGCACCTGGCCCTGCCCCTTCCTGCCAGCGCCTTGGGTCCCGCCCACCCGTGCACACCACTAACTCGGCTGTCTTCTTTCTCGTCACCAGGGGTCGGGCCCAGGCTCGGCGGTCCCAGGCAGCTCCGGCGTCGGAACCCCCAGACAGTTCACGCGACAAAGGATCACGCGGGTCAACCTCAGGGACCTCATATTTTGTTTAGAGAATGAGCGTGAGACAAGCCATTCACTGTTGCTCTACAAAGCATTCCTCAAGTAGCACAGGGCGGGCGCGGCGTCGCGGATGGAGACGCCTGGGACGCTTTTATATATTTGCAGATGACGCCTTTTGTAACAAGCAAATGGGATATTGTTTAAAAAACAGCCACCTCTTTACAACGGAACAGTTTTATATTCCTGTTTCTAAGTCAACTCTTCAGTGCGGAAGAAAACACGTTTCTGTAACAGAGAACACAGAGGCCCGTGGGCCCTCTTAAAGGACAATTAACTCTTAACTCATCTTTGATTGAGTGGCCTTCTTGCCAAACAAGCCATATATAAAAACTGATGGAATCGTTTAGCAAATAATTAGTTGCCCTCTGTCACCTCGTAGCGGTTTCTACATTATTTGTGCGTTTTGGTTCATTCAACCCGACTTACTGCGTAGGTGTGTGTCTACAGCGATGACCTCATTTCATTTATTTTATTTTTGTATTAGTCAGTTGGCAAAGCAAACTGATTTTTTAGACTATTTATCTGCCCGTCCCCTCCCTCGCCAGAGTCCCCGAGGAGCCCGGAGCCCACGGCGCGCCCGCGCGGAGCGGAGCCACCTTCCTGCTCAGGAGAGGCCGTGCCGCCGGCTCCTCCCGAGCGCGTGGTCGGCACCTGTACAGACGCAGTTTATTTGCTGTAGTTTGTAAAGCTGTAAAGTTAAAAGAAATGAAAACCTTTTCAGCATAAATATATTTTACTTGCACTGTGTTTTTTAGCTAAAAGTGGAAACTTAGATGAAATAAAATCAAAGTTGAGAAGAATCATCAAAAGACTGTTTCTCAGTGTGAATCAAGTGTTGAAAAATGGTTGGTGTATTTTGTCAGTAATTGTACATAATTTTTGGCACATAACATAAAAATGGCTATGTAAACTATAATTATTTTGCTAAGAGACTGTAAGCAAGCTGTGGGCCGACTTCGCAGATGTCCAGAGCAAAGCCCCTTCTTTGTACCTATTTTTTTATTACAAATATACTAATTGGTTCTTTATATTTTCAGAGGTTATTGTATTAAATTGTCTATTGATAGTACTTTTATGACTGTAAATACTTGGGCTTTCTCCGTGTGAATCCTCACGTCAGACTTTAATTCGCGCGAGTGTGAACCGAATGCTGATCAGTATTTTTTATCGACGCCCGAAAACTGTTACGCCTTTTATTTTGTCTTTTAGGAAATCCCTGTCTTTCCATTTTTTCATGTAAATTTTGCACAGTTACTTGTTCATATGTAAATATTTTACTTTCAAAAATGAAGTTTTTAATTGCTATTGTTTTATATAGGATTGAAAGAAAATTAACTCCTTTATTAAAAACAAATTTATCTGTATCTGTTTTGCCCGTTTTTCCCGGTTTTCCAGTTTTAGATCTGCCGCCAGAGACTCAGCTCTGGTTCCGCTGAGGTGTTTGTTTAGGGGCTCCTTGTTAGCATCAGTGTGTAAACCCCAGCCACTCTGGGAGGAATAGCCTGACCTCCGCAGACGGGACCTCCGCGCTGCAGAGTGAGGCCTGGCAGGAGGGCCCGAAGCCGAGTTGCCTCCCTGCATGCTCGGGCCGTCCAGGCCACCCCGCCTGCCTTCCGTTGCCGGACCGCCCCACCTCGACACAGGTACGCTGGGCACCTGTCCTCGCAGCTGGGCACCTTGGGGAGAGGCGAGGTGAGGCCCTTGTGGGCCCGGGGGGGTTCTGAGCACAGACTCGTGCCCTGGAGAGCCCGGTGCGGACACAGAGTGGCGGAGCCGGATGGGGTCTCCAGGACGCCCGCCTCCTTTCTGCCAGCCAGCGTGGTGGACCGGCCAGCGCCCTGCCTCCCGAGCGCTGCTGGAGCCGGCCGTGGCGCACTCGGGGCTGGCGCCCAGTTTTCACGTTAATTGTAACTAGTCTGACGACACGCAGCGACGTGTGGGCTTCCGTACAAGTTACACTGGAGAACACCGCTCACGTCGGGGTGCCCGTTCCGTGGTCTCCGGGGGTTGCCAGCTGTGTCCCCGAGGCCTGTGTCCCCGTTCTGGAGGCCAGAAACGTGAGGTCAGGGTTTGGCAGGGTTGGGGTTCCCCCGAGGCCGCGAGGGAGTCCGTGCCAGGGCTCTCGCCCAGCTCTGGTCGTTGCTGGCACCTTGGCCGCAACGTTTGTGTGGCGGTTTCCCTGGGCGTGTCCCTCTTCGTGTCTGAATCGCCCCTTGCCACGGGACCACGAGTGACCTCATTTTAACTTGACCTCCGTAAAGACCCTGCCTCCAAGTAAGGTCATGTTCTGAGGTGCCGGGGGTTAGCCTCCACTGATCTCTCTTGGGGGGACACACTTGCCTGTCACACCTGTGGTGGCCGAGGACAGAGCCCGTGCAGGAAGTGCTTTCAGGGTTTCTAAGTCTCCCGCCCATGGGAACAGGCCCGAGGTGACTTAGCGGGCAGGTCACACTGGTGCTTTCTAACCACGACCTCTTTGTTTTCGTGAAGCTGTTGGCCTGAAATAAATCAGGTCAGTCGGTAGAGGACGGTCGTGCTCAGATTTCTATGGGTGTGACTGACTTCCAGCTTGTCTGCACGTCCTACTGGGTCGGGGACGGTCGCAGCCACAGCCGTGACGCCACCAGGAGGCCGCGCACGGCCGAGGTGCTGCCGGCAGCCACGAGGCACAGGTCTGCCCGTCATTTTCCCTCACCAGACCGGTAGCTGTGGGTCGGCGCCCACCATGACACGTTGTTAGTTGCCCGAGGTCGGGTTTGGGTACGTGGGCGGGCTCGAGGGCAGAGGGCTGGCTGGCGTCGTCTGGGACGCCGGCTCTCACCGCTCCACTGCAGCAGAAAGGCAGGAAAAGGAAGTCAGGCATCACGTTTGGAAAGGAGGAAGATGGAGGAAGAATCCCAGATGGCGCCATTGTGCGCACGCACAAGACTCGGACACACGCTGCCCAGATTCGGATTTGGTGAGATTGTAGGAGGGGGGTCAGTGTCCTAAGTGAACCGTGATTCTGCGTCCCAGCAACCCGCGGCCACCAACGACACGACCAAGGTCAGGATACCTAGGGATGCATGCAAGGAACTACAGGGGAGACCCTCGCACCCAGGCGAGAGAGACGAAAGCAGGTCTGAGTGGAGAAGGTGCCACGTTTACGGAGCGGACGGGGTGTTGCGGGGAGTGCTGCCGCGCTCAGAGCCCCAGCGGATGGTCTGCCACGGGACGGTCTGAGTCTGGAGACCTGTACGGAGCTGTAGATGACTTGGAATAGCCAAGGCGGCCTAGAGCGGAATCAAAATGCTCACGCTCCCAGGTTTCAAGACTTGGCGTAAAGCCATGCTAATCGAGCCGGGGTGGTATTGGCGTGTGCGGGCAGACCCGGTCAGCGAACACCACAGAGTCCGGAAGTGGATCCGCGTGTTACAGCCACTGGGTTTTGGACAAAGACACCAACACAGCGAAGGGAGGCCGGACGTTAGTGCAACTCGGGGCCTGAGGGCGGAGGGTGAGTCTTGACCCCGTCCTCACGCACACGCAGCCTCATTTGAGATGGACCGCGGGCCTGAATGTGGAAGCTGAGACTCCAGATCTTCTAGAAGACTGGAGTGGGCAAGGACCCTTATGGACACGGAAGGCACAAGCCATAAAGAGAAAAACGGCAAAGCGCACTTAAGTTCTGCCTGTCAGAAGATGCCCAGTGAAGGCAGACGGGAGGCCATAGGCCGGGAGAGAGCGTGCACGGGGTGTAAACCCGATAGGAACCCGCATGCAAAGTGGTAAAGAGTTCCACAGCTCAGTAAAAAATGTCGGAGACACTTGAATGGGTCCTTTATGAAAGACCTACAGGTGGCCGATGAGTGAAAGAAAAGTTGCCCATCATGACTGGTCATCAGAGAAATGGAAACCAAAACCATGGCGAGACCCGCCACACGCCCACCGTGGTGGCTCAGACTGAAAGAGGCTGACACGAGGCCCCCCGGGGCCTCAGTCAGTTGAGCGTCGGAGACTTTGGCCAGGTCATGATCTCGCGGTTCGTGGGTTCGAGCCCTGCGTCGGGCTCTGTGCTGACAGCTTGGAGCCTGGATCTTGCTTTGGATTCTGTGTCTCCCTCTCTCTCTCTGCCCCTCCCCTGCTTGCATTCTCACTCTCTCAAAAATAAATAAACGTTAAACAAGTTAAAAAAACAAACAAACAAATGGAGTGGGGTGCCTGGGTGGCTCAGTCGGTTAAGCATCCGACTTCACAGTTCGTGAGTTCAAGCCCCGTGTAGGGCTCTGTACTGATGGCTCAGAGCCTGGAGCCTGCTTTGGATTCTGTGTCTCCTTCTCTCTCTGCCCCTCCCCCATCCACGCTCTGTCTCTGTGTCTCTCAAAAATGAATAAACGTTAATAAAAGTTTTTTTAAAAAGAAAGAGGCTGACAGAATCACGTTGAGGGGCAGGACGCCGTTGTGAAACAGTCCAGCCACTTTGGAAAACTGTTGCCCCTTTTTTTTTTTTAATGTTTATTTTTGAGAGAGCGAGCGTGAGTGGGGGAGGGGCAGAGATGGGTGGACAGAGGATGTGAAGCAGGCTCCATGCTGTGAGTGCAGAGCCCCACGCGGGGCTCAAAGTCACCAACTGCGAGATATGACCTGAGCCGAAATCAAGCGTCGGATGCTTATGTGACTGAGCCACAAATGGAGCGCGTGTCTCCCCGTGATCTCGCGGTTCCTGCCTCCGTCGTACCTGTTTGAGAGAACTGAATGCCTTTGTCTGTCAGAGACCGAAGGCGAACGTTCATCGTGGCACCGCTCGCTCATGGGCTGAGGTGGAAACAAGCCGCCGTCCGTCAGGTGGTGAGTGGATCCCAACCGTAGTGTAATTGTCGATGCGATACTGCCCCGGAGGAAAGAGGGATAAACCGCTGATGCTCTCAGCAGTGGAGCTGAATCTCCAAAGAATCATGAAGAAAGAGGCCAGCCCCTCTGGTTCCATTTGGGGGAAGCTCAAGGCCAGGAGAATCCCGGAGGTGATAGGCGTCCGCGTGGTTACCCCGGTGGCTGGCGCGAGGGGCA